GTGGGTTCACGAAAAAATAAGCAGCACTTTAGGCCACCTAAATACAACTCGTCAGTTGTATCCAGTTGGAATCCCAGCGTAATGTTTTTAATTAAATGGTTGTGCTTTGATTTTACGCTGAAAACATTTATAACTACGTCAACTTTATATTAAAACATTTATTATCTTTTCAGTTGTATTAAAATGTAAAATATGATATATGTCAGCTTATTGCTTTCTGGAGAACAGTCAAGGTTTAAATTTGGTACAATGAATCGGACACTCATGTAAATCGACATGGTTATAACATTGAACTCAATGCAGTAAATTAGTTATTTCTATGAATCACAGCGGGATTGGTTTCATTTTATATGATTGCCAACTCTGGCGGTTTTTTGTAAATGCTTTTGACCGCTGTAAATGTGAAACTGATACAGTATTATTCAATTGTTTTATGTCTTGGTCACATTTGCTCCGATTTTCACTACGGCGCCCGGCCGATTGAGTATTGTGTTCAGAAATGTATTCAATTTTGAACAAAATACTCGCAGCAAATGTGATCCAGGCATTACACAGCGGTATTTCGAACATACTATTGTTGCTTAACCACGACCTAGCCAATTTTAAAATCATACTCCTTATTTAAATCCAAGTAAACGATCAATGTCTAGGTATTTGGCGTTTGATGATACTATGGCCCTTGGCGAATTATGATTAGATGAACCGAGGTCAACATTAATGTTTCTTGTACAAGGTCATCCCAAGGTCTAAGATAAATATTTAGGTATTTTACGTTTCAAGACCTTTGGACAAATTCGATTCAACGATGTATTAAAGTTAAAATGTATACAGAGATAAAATAGGTTATCTCCTATCGTTTCTTGTGTATACGTTTATGTCTCTGCGTAATAACGCAGATGCGAGCAGGTAGTTACCAATCTCACCACAAGGTGGCTCGTTCGGGTCAGATAGCATGGCGGGTATGGTAGAAAGTTCCCTTTAACTTAAAGTACATCTGTTTTCGTGGTTCAATTTTCATATCACCCTTAAAATGTATCTAATAGCAATGCAATTAAAATATGTCCAGTGAACGAAAATGCAATACAATAGATATTTCACTTTTTGTGATTTTGTAACAATGGGGTTATTTTTTGTATATGTAACATGGTCATTTTCACATTTTATATTATTACTGTTCATATTAATCAATCAAGTAGGTTGTTTGCAGTTTTACTCTTTTAATACCATGTTCACTTTTCACCTTGAGTTATTCAACTATGCAAACTGTGTCAGTTTTATATATCTATTGTTCCCCTATATGGTCTTTCTCACTCACATGTAGCTGAGTTTGCATTGGATGTTGGCTTGTCAGTAGTTGCTGTAAGAGTTCATGTTGTACATTACAGAGCATTGTATTTTAAACATTGAAGTTTGAAATATACTATTTTATATATATTTTAATTTGAAGTTCGAGTTATTTTATTGCCACCCACGGGCCTTCCACACGCCCATTTACATATAACGCTTTGAAACAACTTTAAAAAGTGAGCAATGTCAGTGTTGTGATAATAGAGAATTTTCGTTATAAGTTGTTTCAAAAACTTAAATATACGTATACTTATAGTTTAAAGGGTCTTGTCGAACTAAAATCAATTCAAATTGATTTTCATAATCTGTACCAAGTGGGGCATAACTATTCCCGATATAGTCAAGCTTCATCATCAACTAGGGACTGCGAATACAATATCCTTTGCTAGTGTCAATTATGAACACGATAAACTAAATTCTAGTTGACGGGTCCTTGTAGTGTACGATAAACAAGACCCTTTAAAGTGAATCACTACACGAACGAGTCGATCATTTCAAAGTTCTCATGAAATTATAAGGTCAATTTTTAAGTTGTTACGTATAAAAGGGCCTTTATACGCTGATTATAAACTTACAGAGTTGGATCTCCGCATAGTATATGTGTGGACCTACTGACCAGAATGGCTTATTAAAATTAATCGGCTGAATAGGCATAGTATCCAATCAAATAGCCCGACTCATTCATTAGCTGAACTAATTCTCCCTTCGTTATTTCTACAAGGTGATTCAAAACGATCATCTACAAAAAATATATTTGAGAGTAGATAAATCTGTAAAACCCGTGTGCTATATCAGCCTATTTGATTCTAGAAAACACATATGACACAACTAAACATGCTTTACATCAAGGGGGTACGGATGGTATGCCATTGGCCCTTTTTATTACCGTCCTAGGAGATATTTCCCGACGAATTAGGAAATTATGAAACACCTTGTTTATTGGGTTTATAAGTATAAGTATACGTATAAGTTTTTAAAAAACTTATAACGAAAATTCTCTAATAACGCCCCTCATACCTATTTATTACAGGTCGTGTAGACCATTGTTGCCTGATTTATAGCAAAAACATTGACTTTTGCACGTTGATGATGATGATGATGATGCGCCTTTTATAATAGATCTCATATCTTAGAAGCGTATCAGTTCAAAAAATACTAGAAGACCTTACATATTTTGCCATGCACTGCGCCTATTCATTTGGCAATTCAGTTGTAAATTTTATCTTGAAAAAAATAAATCTTCCAAATTTGTTGAGTTTTCTTGCAGAAATCGCCTACCCCCCCCCCCCCCCTCCATCCATTTTGTATGATCACAAGGCGTGATTTAAGCTGCTGATATTCTTCTTAAAACGAGTCGGATTTTCAAAATCTATAAGTTGGACTCCCTTTATAGAAGCTTTGAACTGAATTTGCACTGCTTAATGCTGAAATTTTATTGTTTATCCATACATTTTAAGAAAAAATGTATAAAAAAAGATGTTAAAGCCAAATGTTGCCCTAAAAATTCAGAAAATGTAAAAAATTTCGAATTTTCTATGTACAGGCCTTGTTGCCCCTTTAAGAAGCTTAATATGTAAATTATCTAATCAAACACTTCGTCCACCATTTAGAAACACTAATCAATCCAATCTGTGCCAGCGATTCATAGGGCGAGCCAGTGGGATATTTCCAGGGTTCATACACACCTGGAAATGTCAGGGAAATTGACTTGATTTTCAAAGTGCTGGAAATGTCAGGTAATTTTAAAATTAGGTCAAAAGGGCCAAAGATGACCGGGAATTTTGAAACGGTAGACATGTCAGGGAAATGTCAGGGAAATTTGTATCAGTGTTGAAAAAATAATGTTCCAGAGATTAATGTTTCCAAACTGTTTTGAAACAAACTAACGTCTTGTTTTCAACCTACACCTTGCTCCTTTCTGTCGTATTTAATAAAACAAAAATAGTATATCACGGAGGGATACGAACCACTCACCTGGGACTTGGTTATTCACTAGCGCCATAGGCGTTCTACTATTCTGGATACAACTGACGAGTCGTATTTAAGTGGAGACAAAAGTGAGGATCATTTTGAATTGACGCTCGGTATAAATATATAATACTTTTGTTCTTTCATATCGGTAGCTCGTTGGCCTAATGGTTAGCGTGCCTGGCTTCCATAGTCTAGGTTAGTTGATCGAGACCCGTTCATGTCGAACTTTTTGATTTGCTTGTTGTCAAGATATAATAAGTAGGGCAAAATCCAGAAAAAGTAGATCAAAAATACTCCAATGGAGTATAAAATTGTCACCAGGATTCCGGAATGAGACGAATGTTAACTCGTGAAATCTCGGTAGATAAAGTAGGTCAGAAAATCCGGATTAATCCGAACAAGGTTCGGGAATTTCCGTCATAAGAAGTAGGTCAAAAATACTCCAATGGAGTATAAAATTGTCACCAGGATTCCGAAATACGACGAATCGAATCGGCAAACTTCGGTACAATAATGAAGTGCATAAAAATCGTGAAACAGGTGTCAGGGGCTTCCCTCATCTTTCCATAAATGGTTCTAAAAGCCTTATATGGATATATCACGTGACATTCAAAATGACGTTCCTATATGGTTCTATGGGCCTTATATGGATCTTTCGAACACGTGACCAAATCAAAATCAAAATCAAAATTTTACCTTGACCATTGGATGGGATTTCATAGAAAATATCAAAGAAAACATATTCTCGTGATCCTTAAATCACTTAAATTCGATCATTTTATCTTCACCCCTTGATGGAATTTTATGAAAGAAGTTATGAAAACACATCATCATGTAAGTGTTTTCACCTAAATTAGCTCGTTTTATCTTGACCCTTCAATTGAATTTCATTGAAAAATGTTTCATGAAAAATATCATGTTATGATTTGTATTTAAATAAGACCGTTTCATTTAAATACTTGCATTAAAAACGCACTTTAAAAATATTTCAGGATTTGCCTTAATTTATCAATGTAATGTAAGTATTAGATTGACTCTCAAATAGGGTTCTATTTTAACTTTTTTATTGAAATTAATACTAGGCAGGACTCACTCTCTAAATAGCTAATAAAAATTCAACCCTTGGATGTGATTTCGTTGAAAAAAAAATATGACAAGTCCAGAATCAAATGATTTGTCCAGAACCTCTTAAGATCCTGTTGGGTGTTAATTTAAGCATATTTATGATTATCATTGTCTAAAGTTTGATAATAATTTTAATGTAAATGTCAAATCCATTAGAGCAGTTTCAGAGTGAATGTCTTCAGTCATCATGAATAAAATAATGTCACCCCGCAAAATAATGCACTTTTAATAGTGTTCTATTACAGTTGCTATAGCAGCGGATTAAGATTTTTCTTGATTTTTGCCATACAACACTGTGGCTAGTCGATCTATGTGGATGCAGTCAAGCACATGTAATGTTTCATGAGTACCCGCCTCTGTACTTTTCAATGGAAGAATTTTGCACTTTTGTTTAAATAATCTATATTTACTCATCCGTGTATATCATACTTCATTGATTTACCAAACCAAAGCAACGCTATAAACACACATTCTCTGATAATTTTACAGCGAATAGATAACTCAAACGAGTTCACTCGACCAGTTTTATCACCTCGCTCATAGCTGTGAGAAGGTTAGTATAATTGCCATAGGTTTACCTTATAATGGGGAATAAAAAATTCAAGTAATATAATTATTTCACGTACACAAATATGTCTGTGTGAAGTAAAATACAAATACAACGCATTTTATAATATTTTTGGGGTTATGGTATGAAATATCCGATTTAAAAAAGCAATTTAATTATGATGTATCATGTGGATTAGTAGACGTTCTAATTGGATTCAATGAACAGACTGGTTAGGTTTTAATTGAATCATTTTGAATGTGTGTATTTTTAATATTTTACATATATTTCTTAAACGCTCTCATTGGATACATCAGGAAAAAACAACTATGGTTACATATAAACTTGAGTTGGGACAATAATTCAACAAAAATATAATTTTACAGTAGTATATGGTGAACATTTGATGCCCGACGATAATCTGATGTTTACTCAAGATGATGGACATCTTAATTATATTTTCCATATATATCACAACTATTTTGTAGATGCTTCATGCTTATTGTCAGTGTATCTGCTGTCACCTAGAATTTAGAAGTATAATTTATAGTCGCGATTCTTACCAACTGCAACTCCAGACCACCATATCAAGTCTGTGCTAAAAAAAGCGATTGTTTCTAGATCGGCCAGAGTTCCAACAATATTATAACAAATAATCAGTAAACAGGATTACCATATATGTAAGTTTGTAATAAAGCAATCCTAAATTGCATTTTGTTCTATAACACCGAATGTTTAAATCACGAAATATTATAACCATGGCTTCCTCCACCAATGTGCTACTGCAATACTTATAGCGAAGCCTGTGTTGATCGGGACCATTTTTTATTATATTTTATTATCATAAGAATTAAAAGTAAAGATGAATGAAGTCTTACCTCAGAAACTTCCCATGAAACAGACGAAAGCCCATGAACCAAAAGTATTTAGTTTCCTTTCTGTACCTTACTTGTTTGGCAGATGGAGCGGTGAAATAGTCCACAATGTCCAAAAAGAATAATAATGCTATATTGGTAATTGGAAAGATTCCACTTACCACGATTTTAAAACAATTGTTAATAGATAATATAATTCTTGAATTTTGGTCATTTGTTTCAAGGAATCTGTAGGCTCTTTCAGCTGAGCTGACAAAATCATCAAGATTTACAGATGGTCCATCTGTTGGCTGCTCATTGTCACTTTCAAGGAATGTTAATGGCTCTGAAACTTGATCTGTGGGTATTCCAGTGGGTTGATGGTTCTCGGGCTCTGAATTCACTTGATTGGCGTACCTAATTTCAACATCTTCATTGTCATCATTACATGTTATGGACCCGTTTTTCAAGTTAACAGTATTAGGGATGAAACCATAGTTTTTTCTTCTGTAATGGCATTTTCCAGTTGACGGGTCTATATAAATCTATCAATTTTCAATTCTTCATGAGGGTGTATTGTAATGGTGTGGCTAATTACTTCACTGAATAAGGAATGTTTATCCAAACTATGGATACAAAGAAAATCTGGCCAGTTGTCCATCTCTAAATAAATCATCATGATAAAAGCATAATTTATTATAGCATCCATTTGTTACCGTTCTGAATCCAAAGATACATAGTTGAATCCATTTGATACATATATGTTGACGTTTACGAAATGTTGTTCAAATATCTTCCCTATAACAGGAATATGCTAGCTGAAACGTTCACACATTGTCATACTATGTATATTGAATATGTATGCAAGATTTCAAGTCAATATGTTAAGTAGAAACTCTGAGATCACTTACCTCGATTTTCTGTCATATTTTTTCAACGACCCCATTCCCTATAATGTACGCGAGAACCCATGAAACATTGCATATACATGACTGCATCCACATTGATCGACTAGCCACAGTGTACAAATCAAACATCATAGTAAAACAACTTGCTAAAAGTTTCAAGTCAATGTCTTTATTTGTGTCAGAGATATAAAGGTGTCTTAGAGTACCCCCTGTATATTTTATCAGGGGGGATGAGAAATGCTATGTAGAGAGTTGACCAAGGGTGCCGCTCCGGCATCCGGTGGTTTTGAAGTTCCAATCCTATATGCATGCTGACAAGTTAAGAAAACATTGTACTCCGAATAACACGATTGATTCTCAAGGAATATGCATGTAGCAAAGTTTTTCTAATAGCCTAAACGTAATTCAATATTGGCAGCACAGTTTCTGGATGGATATAAGATAGATTCTGAAACAATTCCTGGGTCACTTTTCATATCACTCTAACAAAGTGTCAGCATTAGTAATTACGAGGGGCGATTCAAAAGTCTTTGACGCCCTGCTCTAGTTATTGGTCTTTAAAATTACCTGGATCTTTCTAATGATAGAGATTAAGAACCTTCTTTATTCATTTTATTTATTTATGTATTTTTCTAGATTTTTCTGGCTGGGTCCCCAGATCAAAAAATATCTCGAAAAAGTACCTAAAATATTTTTGGTGAAACTTATATAAAAAGTTATTAACATGTTAATCTTTATTATTTGTAAGTTCCACTAAACAATACAGCAAAGTTAGAGTGGGGGTGTCCTAGACTTTTGGTCCACCCCACGTAAAAACTAATAGCCAGTCGGCTATTAAGCTTAAAAATCTGTACTAAATTTTCGGCACAGATATAAGACTAGTTACACACTATAAGATTAGATAATTGAAACATGTTTTTTCTATGTAAACACTACAGTTGGGTCAAACTGATCTAGACTTGATTTTGTACTATCTAAAAATAATACGTAACATTATTTTAGACAGTTGGTGAATATATTCAGCATTTGGAATTGCAAGTACATACATGCAGAGCCACAGAGAATGAGTACCATGAGATTTTCAGGAAAGGCTGTTATTGTGACAGGATCGAATAGTGGAATTGGAAGGGCAACTGCAATAATACTGGCTAAAGAGGGTGCAAGTGTTCTGATACATGGGCGCAATCTAAGTACTATCAAAGAAACTGTTGCTGAGTGTGAAAAGGTGGCTGTAGAGAATGCTAAGTTTCCGTATATTCAAGGGGACATCGGAGATGATGATGTCCTGAAGAAGATTCATGACACAGCCGTTGAAACATTCGGCAAGATAGATATTTTAGTTAATAATGCAGGATATTTTGAGAAGAACTCCAATCTTGGCTCGGGATCTATTGGATTTTTCGATGACGCTGTTAAAGTCATGTTGCGAGCGCCAATTCTTCTGTCGCAAATGTGCTTGCCTGAACTGAAACAAAGCAAGGGAAACATTGTGAATACGTCCAGCTGCGCCGGCGTACTCGCATCAGATGGTTGTCCATTTTATTGCATCGCTAAAGCCGGATTGAATATGTTCACACAATGTGCCGCATTGGAATTTGGTCATCAATTTGTCCGTGTTAATGCCATTTGTCCAGGTTATTTTAAAGGAACACGAATTTTAAAGAATCAGGGGGTATCACAATCGGAAGAGGAAGAATTGTATTTAACGGCAGCAAAATGTACCCCACTGGGTAAAATTGGAAATGTGGATGACGCGGCAAAACTGATTGCATTTCTAGCTTCTGAAGATGCATCTATGATGAACGGGGCCTGTGTGGTATGTGATGGCGGTATGGTCTTAATGGGCGTTAGTAAGAAAACATTAGAAAACGCTGCAAAATAATTCCGAGTTGTACTATTGACGTTGTGATTATCATTATGAGAGAAATGATTTTAGGATGCTGTGTCAAAATCTCCATTCATACAGGATGTTCCAAAAACTATAGCCAAATGAGACGGGAATGATTGTCTCTCGTTGAAAATGATGAACTTTTTGCATAAGAAAGATAAATGGTTTTTGATGAACAATTAGCTCTTCATAATTAATGCAAATATGAATGCATGCAACTTCAAACATTGAAAAATGAGTGATGGTACTTAAACAGTTTTCAATAGAAATGGGAATTACCTGATAGAGATAGAGATGGTGTTTTATCTTGGTACAGATCTTGGGACACCCTGTTCTAAATAGTGAATATGTGATGCCTAAAATGATCTTATGTTTCTAAAAATGAAGATACATTTGAGACTCAACTGTCTGTAAAATGTTCCACTAAATCCAATTTACTGTAATACTAACTATCTGCTTTGTAAGATACGTTTCGAATTTCTACTGTTGTCTTTAGTTTTATATACGTTTGTACTTGGCTATTATTAGAACCAAATAGAAGTGGGCTTGTCATTTGATTGTCTTTTCAAATTGAAGGCTCTACCAAGCATGTCACTTCATTAAGTGCTCCACTTTCATGATACTTTTTAACTGCGAGGAGGATTGGCTCCCAAAGTGCAACATCGATATTCTGTCCCATATATGTCGTGATACAAAATTCGAATTCAGACAGCCACTATTTTGTTCACCTCAACATTTGAATCTCGAATTTTGGTCTTGCCAAACGAAAAATTCCAAAACTCTCAAGAAATGATCGAGATATTGGTTCGAATCTCTTGAACCGTTTATTTTGAATTTATCGTCGGTAATAATTTCAGAAAATAACGACATTTCGAAGTTAGCATTGTTGGACACAATCGAGTTTCTACCCTGGGAGCCAAATCCTCCTGGATTTAACTGACATAAGTGTTCAACAGCTTGGCAGTGAAATAATATGCGTTTCAATATCTGCACTGCCCCATGGCAAAATGGACATGTGTCACTATGTTTATATATTTTGCCATTGAGTGATGAAGTTCCACCTAAAGCTCTCAACAATACATATACAGGATACAGGACATATTAAAAATAGATCCTTTTTTAATAATTTCCACCACTTAATCGATTGGTTTAACAACTTAGTAGCAATATATTTGTTTTAGGGGTCATTCAAAATGTTTTGCCTAAGATATGTTTAAGAGAAGGTATTTTGATATTTAAATGAATGGTCATTCATTCGATATGAAAGGGTGGCTTTAATATTGCAAATTGCTTCTACAAGTGATCGTTGCTTATATTTTTTTTCTATTTATTTTGAATATTGTTGCCATGGAAATTAACTGCTGTAATCATCAGGTCATAAAGATTTTGTAATGTGACAAACTACTAAGGAATACTCAGGGGCGTATTAACGTTAAAAACTGGTTGGTATTTTTGTTGGTATTGTTTTAAACCTTATTCAATTCTATTTACTTACCTCTTCTGAAAAGAATGTAAACGTTTTTTAAAAGCAGGTCAACAAAGGTCAAATCGAAGTCAATGTGATCTAGGGGGTGTAAATTTTTGACATTCTGTGATAAATTGTTAATTTGTTTTCACATCGCTACTTAACGAATAATTCAGTGTGATTTGCTACTCTGTGGAGTTGCTGTTTTCAAGTTGCCTTGTGCGACAATGAAATATGGGTTATGGTACCAAAACAAAGTCTACTCAAAAAGCAAAAAGTTACCCGTTCAATTTTTCATATGGTTATGTTAGTTAACTTGTCTGAATGATGGCTGAATTTAAAGAATGTTCTTTCATCAGGTAACGAGTTCATATGTTTTATCTCGGTACAAATATTGGACACCCTGTACTTAGAAGTGAACAGGTGATGATTTAAAAATTATCTATAATATTTGACATTAGTCTGCAGCAATATTTGAGACTAAACTGATTTTAAAATGTTCCACTAAATATGATTGACTTTAAAGGTGCAACAAGGACTGTAGAGAGAAAATTCGATTTTTTGTTTTTTTCTGAGCTATCAGGTCAATATTTGACTTAGCATCTTCTTTGACATACTTATTTTCTTAAAATGTATGGATAAACTCTCAATTTCAGCATTAAGAAGTGTAAATTCAGTACAATAGACAGGTTCCAATTTCAGAATATCTCAAGGGAAAGACTTTTTGAGGCATTTTTTTAGAAAAAGCAACAGACCTATTTTTTCTGGATCAGTTTTTCATGCTGATAAAGATATTAAAAGATGACAGCTCAACGGAGTGGTCACGACACTGCATTTTAGCGTTTTTACCCCCCTAGGAAATTATCTTAGGGGGTACTATAATATTAGTTCATAACTCAAAGGATATATAAACTATTGTTCTGAGTTCTACAGCATACATTGTTAGTACAGAGATGAATACTATCCTAAAGTTATAGGTTGATATCTTTGTTGGTTTCGGAAAAATACAATTAATTAGAAAAAAATATGCATTTTTGTCATTTTTTTCTTGCTTATTTTATATTTGTAGCTTCAAGCAAAATATGATAACTTTAACAGCTCAAAGTAGTATTCTAACAACATTCCCAAGCTATGTTTGATATTGTAATACATCTATTATAGTGATGAAGTACTATTTTGTAATTTTAATATGACTTTATAATGCCCTACCCCTGGTAAATAGAAGAACGTTGGTGTGGTTTTCTTCTGGTTTTAACATTTTGTTGACTTC